GTACAGTGTGGGTGGGCCTCGTCCAGCCCACCGAGGGCCTAAAGAGAGCCAAGGGCAGAGGACAGAGGGACCCCCACATCTTCCTGCCTCCCTGCTGGAGCGGGGACACCTCACCTCGGCTCCCCTGCCCCCAGCTTGGACTTACGCCAGCTCCTGTTTCTGAGGCCTTTGGACTCAGAATGAATTCCACCAACGGTGCTGCCTCCACAACCAATTCCCTGCACTCTCCTTTCACAGGCACATGCTTCCTGTTGGTTCCGTTTCCCCGGACAACCCTGCCCTCCAGGTCCTCCCCCAGAGGCCTTTGCACCTGCTGGTCCCTCTTCCACGAATGCTGTTCCCTGCACCTGCTCACCGCTGGCTTCCTCCTACTTAACCCTCAGCTCTCAGCCTGTGAGTCCCTTCTGAGAGAAGCCTTGTCTGACACCCAGCTGGGTCTCCAAGGCCCTGGAGCTCCGACAGAATGGGGTGCCCTGCAGCTGGCAGCGGTGTCCTGGGGAATGGCCGCCAGGACGGAGGCACCCAGGGTGGGACGGGGATACAGTGAGGAGTGAGCAGACTCGTGCTGAGGGCCTGTGGGGGGAACAGGAGGCCGTCCACTCTGGAATCACGCAGGCACGGCGAGAGCACCAGCCCAGCGCCTCGCATGTGCGTGTTGAGCGTGTGAACGAGGTGAGAGTCCTGAGCGCGTGCCCCTCCTCCTCTGGGAGCCCCCTGTACCCGGGCCTGGAGGAGGCTGTGTTCAGAGACGGGCTGAGGCTGGGGCGGGCAGTGTGGGGGTCCAGGCGGCGTCCCGTGGAGGTGCCCCGTGCTTTCTCTGGATTGAGGTGGGGTGAATGCTATCTGACCGGGAGGACAGATGTCAGTTCCCATCCCTCCGTCCAATGTCAAGGCTGTACCGTCTGTCATGTTCTCATTTTTCTAGCGGGAGCTCTGCCCACGGGCATTTTGGGGAAATGACACTGGGATGAGCAGCGATCTCTGGGGCCGATGCTCTGACCGTGGAGCCTGGTCCGGCCTCAGTGCGGGGTCTCCTTTTGTCTCAGTGGCAGTGCCTCAGTGGGAAGTCGGGGCATTTCCCTGACCACACACATCTCGGGGTGAATGCGGGAAAGGCTCGATCAACAGCTCACCCTGGTTGCTTGAAAAGCGGGGAGGGGGACACGGGGCAGGGGGGAGGCTGTGATTTCCACATTGGTCCAAATTCATTGAATATGCTTTCTTGTCAAAAAAAGACCATGCTGAATCCCCTCTGCACAAAAGTGCTTTGTTCTTAAAAGTCATCCAAGGATTTGGGAAAGGAGCCCCGTAATTCACTCCTCAGGGAACGCCATGAAGTCACAGCTGGGAGTGGGGACAAGACATCCCTCCGGCAAAGCATGGGTCGCTCTCGGAACTGAGACGGCTGGCTGACCCAGCACAGGGGTGAGCAGCCGCCCACAGTTCCCCCTCACACTCGGTGTGCATGGCAGCAGGCTGGCGTTTCAGCCCACGTCCCCATCTTCGCTGTCGGGAAGGCTCAGGTTTCCTCTGTAACGCCTCCAGGACGGCATTTACCATCTAAGGCCCGGACCACCCCAGGCCAAGACTGCACCTGCCTCCCCAGCCTACCCGGCCCTGTTCCTCCACCTTCTGAGTTATCCTCCCGAAATGTGTCTCCTCCGGGACACACTCAGGTGCTGCTTTTAATCGGCCCCGGGCAGGACCACAGAGACAGCGAAGTCCCAGAGACGGACCCTGAGCCCTGACCCCGGCTGAGGAACACCAGCCCCTGGTCGTGGGTAGAAATGAAGACTCGGTCTTCGGATCCAGCTGTTTAAGGGAAGCTAGAAATTTGAAGACAGTCTCCTGATTTTAAACATTGCTTATTTTATTTAAACTCTATTCTCTAGTTTCTGTAGGGAGTGGCTATAGGGTCAAGCCTTGGACTGACCCAGCTTGGAGGCTGAGCCCTCCGAGCACAATTAAGCTTGACCTTACCGTCCTCCCTTGTTCCTAGAAGCTAATGGGCTGTGGGAGGTACAGGAAGTGCTGTCAAACAAGGCTTGAGGAACAAAATAGACTGAAATTCCCAAGAACATGATAAACATGTTGACCACTCCCCTTGCTTTGTGTGATTTCACTAGAAAATAAAGCTTCGGCTTACGGGCTGGGTCACTGCTTCCTCATCCAGGCACAGTGATCCACCAGGCCCCAACTGTATTCTCTCGTCTGGCTTCTTTAATCCTTCACCACCCCCACTCAGGGTCACCCCTGGCTGTGCTGGACGCAGTTCAAGTTTCTGCTAAGGAACCCCTTTTCTCTCCTCCTTGGTGCCACTTTAAACATACGGTGCACGTGAGCACAGCTCATTTTCCTAAAGATGAGCTCATCTGGTCTTTAAAAAAAAAAGGCAGCAAATTAAGAACAACTCTCCACCTGGGTTGCTGCAAGGCGTGGAGGGTGTCAGGTAGCCCGTCCTCCTCGTGGCCTCGACTGTCCTTTGTTCTGTGGCTGCAGACGCAGCCGGGCACACCGGGCAGAGGCATCGCCGGTGAGCACACTGCCCATGGAGCCACGCGTGAGGCCACGCAGAGCGAGGAGAGACCACATGTCTGCAGGACGGAGGACACGAGGCGTTAGGCGGGCTTCTCTCCCATGAGCACCGTGCGGATCAGGTTCCCCTTAATGAGCTCCTGTTCACACGGAAGGCGTCACCCAGCACGGGACCGTGGGCATCCCCTGTGGAGACAGGCTGGCTCGTGGCCCCTTCCTGCAGAGTGGAGCAAAAGGTTAATTACGCAAACGTCCAACTGCTCCAGCCCGAGTGCTCCGGTATTCAGAGACAATGGAGTAAAACTGATGCAGACTCGCCGAGGCCGGTGGCACTTTGTGGGGGACTTGCTTCGCGTCTTCCTGTCACATCTTGGTGCCCCAGCAGCAGCGAGGCCTCCCGCGTGGCGCTCGCCGGCTCCTGCCTTCCCCGGAGAGCCCGTGTGAAGCGCTTTGTCTGCCACTCCCGCTCACTCCCGCCCCCGAGCACCACGGGGCTCCGATTCCCACTCCACCTGCAGGCGACACGCCCTCCCCGGGGAGACAGCGGCCCAGGCGGCTGTGGTGAGGGCCCAGCAGCGACCCAGGCGCCGGCCTCGCTCGATTAAACACGCAGCTTTTCACAGGCTCCTCTGGAAGAACAGTTCCCCGTTGAAAGGGCAGACAGACCTCACAGGTCAGCTTCTGGGACTAGATCTTGGCTGTGTGGCTCTAATTTACAGTCTGGCCATGCCAGGGCTCGAACGGGTTTCTCCCCAAACAAGGAAACTATTGGGGGGGGGGAGGGAATCTAGTTTCCCATGTTCCCAATTATAAGAAAG